AGGCCATGGCAATGGCCCCTAACTTAAACTTCTTTAAGTATCTTTAAGTTGTAGGTATTTGAAGACTAAGCCAGCAGAAGGATCTCTCTCTATTTCTTTCTTCCTCTCTTCCTCTCTCCCCACCTTGTCAGTCTGCCTTTAAAAAATATAAATTTTTAGATAAAATAAACAGGGAAAAAGCAATGTGCAAGAAAATCGGAAAATTCTGTGTAGAGAAAATTTAAACAAATTAAAATAATGCTTGAAGACAGTGTATAATTAGAACAATACTTTGATAAAAGATAATTTAGCAGTGCACTCATAGGAAACCCTATATGCTGTGTTCTTAGATTATTGAAGCACATTAGCTTTACAGATATTTCCAGATGAAATGAAAAACTTCATTGTGGAATGTAAATCATCAACCTAAACTCCAGAAGTAATAGAACACTTGAACTGATCTTAGAAGAAATGTGGAGGGCAATTAAAGATTTCTTCATGAAGAAAGCATTAGACCTGAAGAACTTATAAATTTAGAATTTTATCAGACTATCAGGGAAGAGAATTCCTTTGCTACACAAATGCAGAGCATAAAACAAATGACATTTTCCTAATGCTTCTGATAAGCCAGAATGATATTAAAAGTTTTTGAAATGCTGAAGTTAGTTACAAGCCCTGCTTACATGTAAATATTTATATACTAATATTTGCATGTTAATACTAAATAAAGTATTAGAAAGTAGGGTGCATTCTGACATTGCAAAGGTAGAATGATGCAACAGTCTTTTACAATAAAAACATACTTTAAAATTGGAACTTAACATAATAAAGGCTTGACTAAGATTTGTTCAAGAAGAATGGATTATTTCCCATCTGGTATTATAAAGATTAATTAAACATTTGGAACTAAATTAAGCTTTACCATATTTTAAATATTAAAAGAAATTCCCAGAGAATTAAAGATTCAAATATCAAGTGAATCAACGTAAAATTTTTTGAAAGTGGGTAAATTAAAAAAAAATTTAAAACATATCGATGACCGGATCCTGTGTAATAGCCTAGCAGCACCAGGATCCCACAAGGGTGCAGGTTCTAATCCCAGCAGCCCTGCTTCCCATCCAGCCTCCTGCTTGTAACCTAGCAAAGCAGTAGAGGATGGCCCAGAGCCTTGGGACCCTGCACCCACATGGGAGACCCAGAAAGAGGCTCTGGGCTCCTGGCCATCCTCCTGTGGGACTAAAAGCAGAATTCATGGTAATGAATCATTAATAGATGAAGGAATGCAAGATTTCAATATTTCTGTGTTTTTACAAATGCCAGGGAGCTTCAAAAGCAATTAATTTATCTGATGTTTTAAAATTTTATTTATGTAAAAACATCCAAAATCCGCATTACTTCAAATTACAAATTTAGGAGCATGGTGGTGCTTTTACTTTGAGAAGTAAGAATTAGGGTTGGCTTTGCTCCATTTCCTATCCAGCTGCCTGCTAATGATGTGGAAAAAGAAGCAGCAGATGGCGCCTACAACCCACGTGGGACATCAGGTGAAACCCTTGTTCCTGACTCCCACAGGCGACCATTTCAGCCATCTGGATACTAAGCCATCTGATAAAAGAGTTCTTTCTCTCCTTTGCCCCATTCTCCCCTCCCGCCATCATTGTCTCTCTATAACTCTTTCAAAGAAATAAATATATCTTTAAAAAATAGTTGAAATTAACGGGAAGTTTACAGCAGAACTTAGGTTAGAACTGACTTCTTGTACCATGTTCATGTTACTATGTTACAGTTTCAACCACAAGTCGTGAAGAATACTCTGTGTATATAAGTGCATGCATATAAAATTGTACCTGTAAAATTGTGAAAGCTGCATTGGAAAACATTCAGTAACATAAGTGAATTTAGGCATTTTCTTGACTGAGATTTTCACTTGTAAGGTGATTGGGATGTACAAGCTTTAAGAATGTCTTTGTCAACAGGGAAACTGGGTGTTGGTAATAAGAACCAAGTATTCTAAAATGTGTGCCTCAAACACAGCAATGAGCTGATGACTCGGGGCATCGGAACTTATGAGCAACTTAGTGTGCACAAAAGCATCTCTTGAGGGCAGCAAGAATAACCAGTTCTTTCCTTCTCGCCTTCTCATTTGGGCTACATAGTACAGAGAGCCCCATTCTTAACTGAACTTAACATCAACTGACTGTTGATGAATTATACCTGCAAAGTAATGCTATTTTTTAAACAAATTAAATTTGAATATTATTTATTAGAAAGTATTATTTATTTGCCCAGGCTGGGCAAAGCAGGAAGCTGGACTCAGGAGTGTTAACAGCATGCAAACCAGCACTCTGTCACGGGACGTGGCTGTCTTCACTGCTCAGCCAAATACCTGCCCCAGAAACATGGTGTGACAAAAGCAGATCACAATCACCTACTTTTGGTAACAAGGATGTAAAGGTTGTAGCTAAAGTACGCAACGTACAATATAGCTTCCGATCATTTATGGGTTATTAATTTGGTGACTTAAAATATTGGTCCATTTACGGATTGGAGTCGCTGAAACCCTGGTCGCACTGTTTTCCGTGAAACTGTAAATACATATTCATGGTTTCTCAACTTGGTAAATCGATATAATATTGCTAATTTTGAATTATTTTTTCTGGCTATCATCCCACCAAGTCATAAGCAAAGTACTAATTTTTCCATCCCCTCCGCATATAAAGTTCTCTAAGGCCTAATTCTTGGTGTTTTTCATTTTTAGATAGTCTTTTTTTTTCTTTCATTTTTTAAGTTTAATGACTTAACATACTTAGTGGACAAAGACGTGCATTGATTTTTAGCTAAGTGTCCCTGGTTAGAAGAAAAACACGAGCAGTCTCCAAATCTAACCTGCCCTCTAGTGGCAAGTCTGGGTGCTGCCATAGTTTCTAAGGCTTAAAATAAAATGGTTGTGGGGTTATTTTAAATAACAGAACTCCCTCCACCCCAAAGCATTATTTATTACATAGCCTACTCTGAATATTTATTGAATTTGCTTCATAAAAGTTCAATATTAGAACTGTAAGACCACAACACTGCAGGATTTGAGCCAATTGTAATATAACCACAAAGCATATTTCCTTATTAGTGGCATAGATTTCTAGATGTTTTGGTAATCTGAAATATCTAAATATTGTCTGGTCACTTGAGACTCAGGTTTGATTTTGAAAGATTATTACAACCGATAGAGGAAAGTATTTTTTAAGATTTATTTATTTTTGTTGCAAAGTCAGATATACAGAGAGGAGGAGAGACAGAGAGGAAGATCATCCGTCTGATGATTCACTCCCCAAGTGAGTGCAACAGCCGGTGCTGCGCCGATCCGAAGCTGGGAACCAGGAACTTCTTCTGGGTCTCCCACATGGGTGCAGGGTCCCAAATTTTTGGGCCGTCCTCGACTGCTTTCCCAGGCCACAAGCAGGGAGCTGGATGGGAAGTGGAGCTGCCAGGATTAGAACCGGCGCCTATATGGGATCCCGGCGCGCTCAAGGTGAGGACTTGAGCCACTAGACCGTGCTGCCAGGCCCCAGAGGAAAGTTTTAATCAGTGAAAAATATAAATGATAATAGATGATAGATGGATAGACAGACACTCGTACACAATCTTTATACAGTGCCTGGCGTCTGAACTCCAACCAATGCATCCTTTAGCTGTGAACTAAAGTGTCATTAACAACAGTATTATTTGTGAAACTTCTGTTTTAATTATTAAGATAATATCAAAGGTAGGGTACAAAGGACTATAGATAAAACCTACCACATTGTAATATGTGAGGATTGTCTCTATTAAGAGATATTGTAGTTACTTATAATTTGGAATTGTTTTTGATTTTGAGGCATAACCAAATGAAAGCAAGTCATTGTGCCAAGGAACACAGTCTGTTTAGCTGACTCAACATTATGACTCTCCAAGTAGGGATTCCTAACTAACAACATGGGTACCAGCTAGGAAGTTATTCAGAAAGCCAGTTCAGACTCACACCTGACCTGCTGAATCAGCAACACTGAGTTTTGCCTTCAGCAGTTTGTGTTAGAGCAGTAACAGTAAGATGATGTCAACAGGCTATCTCCCAGGGAGCTGCTTTGCTTCTCAGATCAGTTTTTGTTTTCCAGTAACTTTCCGTGAATGCTTACTCAGAAAGCAGCCATGTAATACAAAGGTGGGATCCTTCTCCAGGGTAGAGAACAGGTTTACTCCTGACTATTCTAATAAGTTAAAAAAAAAAAAGATGGGGTCATAGCTGTGGCACTGTGCATAAAGCTGTCACCTAAAACATCAGGATCCTACATGTGCACCGGTTTGAGAAGTTAGTGGGAATGGCTCTGGATCCTGCAGTTAGTTGCCAGCGTGGTGGCAATAATTGCAGAGTAGTTTACTTGCGTTTCATGTTTTGTGGTCAAAGCCCAAAAAGGTGAGAGGGCAGAGCCAGGGCAGTTACAGTAGGTACGTGCTTTATTACCCAACTTCCTGAATCCAGCTTGAGGTTACCTGTGGCTTCCCAACCTACCCTGGCTTTCCTTTCCTTGGGAAGTGAAAGTGAGATGACCTCATTTCAGTTAAATCTCAATTGGCTTTTTTGGTTTTTTTTCCCTGGGGTTAGCCATACAAAGAGCAAATAATAGCATCACTGTACTGATGGAGAGACTGAGTGTTCTGCCAGTACAAAGTGATTTAGTCAGAATGAAGCATGCCTAGGTGGAGTTAATATTCAGTCCCAGACTGGAAATGGAATATAGTGCTTGCAAGAAAAGTTTCACCTCCCTAGCAATAGGTTCTTTTTGGTGTTTCTAGATAACTTTCCAACTAAAAGAAATCAAAGTTCCTTATATTGGAAAAAAAAAATGAAAATGACCAGAGTTTTGTTCATGCAATATATTTCTAAAGTCAGAATTACAGACAGAAGTAAAAGATGTAACACATTACAGATCACTGTGTAGGAGAGAAGAATTTCAGGAAAATAAGGGGATGATTCTTAAAATCCAGAACTACTTATTATCTTTATCCATCATAGAAATCATTTCATTGTAGACTTCTTGAGGAGCATTCATTGCCCAGATAAAATCCAAGTGGTTATAAGGAAGGATCTCCTTGTGGTAAATCAGATTAGAGAGTTTCGGAAGCAAAAGGTCAACATCTTCAGGATCAGCCAACAAGTCTTGGCCGCCACTCCACACTGCAGTTGGCACGTTCATGGCTGTCACATTGTAGTAGGGAGGTGTGGGCTAAAAAGTATGAATAGGAAAAAATGTGAATTTCAGTAACCATGCTAGTAGGAGTTATTCTTTGATAGAAGGTGTGATGTTCCCTAACTCAGTTTGGTAAGCAGATTCTAACACTGTCCAGAGAAAGCCACTTTTGTCCACACAGGAAGGTGGATGCAATATGTTTTAGACTTAAATGTTTCTCAATTTTGATAGGCCTACCCAATCACCTGAGGATGCTATTCAAACAAAATAAGGATTCAGTACATTGGGGTAGTACCTGGCTATTCTGCATTTGTGATATTTTTGGCTGTTGATGTCATGTCCCAAACTACCCTATGAACAGCAAAGCTTTAGATAGCAATTCTTATAAGCTAAAAATTGGAATTTCAATTCAAGCTCCACAAAGTGGATTTGATTAATTTAAAGCTGTAATAAGTTTTATTTTTCTACGCAAACATTCTGAAGTGTGAACTCAAAAAGTAGTGAATTGTTTCTTTTGGCTTTGACTTAAAATAAACTTACTAGTAAAATCAGAAGATAGATCTGTCAGTTTAATTATTGAGCAATATTTGTTGAAAGCTTGTCTGATGTTGCTAAATGTTGTTTCTATGATTAGGAATCTTATCATAAACCCATTATTCCTCTTTCTGGAGAATCACCGTTAACACACGGATTTAAGGAGATTTATAAACAAGGGAGGAGAAAATCACTTCTAAAGGTCCTACCATCCAGATAATTGTTAGAATTTTTTAAGATTAGACTTTCAAGAATACTAATCCCACACGCTAAGCTTCCGTTTTGTACCTCCATGTAATAGTTTGCCATAGCAAAACATTTTCTGTCACATTTTAAAAAATATTTTAATACTTCCTGTTCCGTTTCCTCATATGAAGAAAGTCTTGGTGGTTGGGTCTTCCAAGGTCTCACTTGAGTGTCAAAGCTAATGCTCCCACTTAGAGGGAGGCTGAAACAAAGCTTTCTGGGCAAGGATTGGAGAAGGATTTGAGAAGGTATTTTCAAAAGAAATTTGGTCACATAGTGTTCTGAAAATCTCTTTAAAGACATCAGTAAGGTATTATAAAGGAGAAATAAGATCTCTGCACAAAGGATGTTGTTATGAAGACAAATTCCTTCCAACTTATGAGTCATAAAAAAGATGAAAGTTTGTAGAGTTGTTCAAGCATTACTTGGAGAAGAAAATAAAATTAGTAGTGGGTGAAAAGGAAGAAGATAGTATTTAAAAATAATGTCACTCGGATCCTTCTCTGGTCTGAATTTAGTCTCTTAAAAGGTGAAAGTTTACCTGGTTTCTTGAGTCCGGTAGAGAGATGAATAGAGTATTGCCCAAATTCATAGTGGCAGTTAACAGGATGAGCTGCAATGCTTAAGCATTTGGTGCCACAAGTATAAGGATTGCTTAACGTGCACCTGTTATTCCACAAGGCATCTGTCTGCTGCAAAATATTTCCAGCCTGCCCATGATGCAAACCCATGGTCTTTTCTTATTAAAAGAAATAGAGCAATGTGTCCCAGGAAAACCACTCCTCTGGCTGTCATTAGTGAACAGTGGTGTTTAACAAAACCCATGTCATGAACAGTTCAAATGACCAGTTTGCTGTACCAGTTAATGGCACTTCATACAGGAGGGAACAGTGTTCTGGGGGACTGGGATACTGGGGTGCTCTGTGTATTGGCGGTAGGTTGGTGATAACTTCTCACACAGGAAGGGTTTTTGGAGGGCAGCTTGAATCAGCAGCATGGCTTGGGTCCCATGAGAAAAGGAGCCTTCAACATTTCTTTACAAAACCTATACATAGGTATCATCATTGTCACATTTAACTTTCTGTTTTTCAAATCTAATGTCAACTTTATGTGCCTTACCTGATTGAAGTGTTCTATGTTCAGGACTGGGTTTCCCCAGTTATAAGCTTGAAAATTCCCAGATTTAACAGCCTAATGCAAAAACAACAACAAACAAAACCGCACAAACAGATTGAAATTCTCCTTATTAGATGAAAAATAAAACCAAACATTCCCATGTAGTTTGTTTTTAATTTAAGCAATTATTGGAAAATATTTTTCCCATTGTAAAATTTTTTTATTAAGCTTTTAGAATAAAGCATTTCTGCACATTTAAATGCAGCTCTGACTTAAACAATTTTTCCTCCATATCAGGTCATAAAAATCATCCATTCCTTTGCTATCAAAGCACTGATTTCCGTAACATTTACATGAATTGATTGTTTTTTTATGTAGCAGTCTTATGCCAAAGTCATTACCTGCCAGGAGTATTTGGTAGAGCATTTTAAGAATATGCTTTAGATAAATGCAAAGTGCTTAGGTCTCAGGAACAGGTTTAACAGGATTCGAGAAACGGTACCTGGGTCCAGTGGAGCATGTTCTGCACAGACGTTCCCGCTGGATTGTGTGCTACATACACGTCCAAGCGACTCTGGAAGCCACACACACAAATACATGTATGTACTTAGCTTCTCAAAAAATGCTGAGACCTAGGTTTCCTGATCCAGATTTAGGGGAAGGATATGAACAGTATAGCTGTATGTCACTGTAAAATTTCCAACGTACAGCTATATCTGTCATCTTCATTTTTAGCCACCCAATGATCACTCATCTCTATTTTATTAAAATGGAAAGTAGAGCTTAAGGTAGGCCGGAGAAGCCCAGTGTCCCACATTGAAGAGAGCAGAGTCAGAGTGTAAGTCTCTGAAATTCTTAAAATGTTAGTCTTCTGTACTTAGCACAATAGTCCAGCAAATTAAGTATTCTCACATTGCAAAGTCACAGAAATCTAATATATAGAAATTTATATATATATGAGTGTATATATTTTCAATTTTGTCCTCCTGCCAAGGGCCTTAATCCACCCTGCTTAGATCCCAGGTGGTAAACGTAAGCACCCTTTTGGGATTACACAGATTGATTCTTGGTGGGCTTCAGTGCCCCTGCATGAATGACCATGGACAAACCAACACATCAGTTCTTTTCGTAGGGAATTGGAACCGCTCTCCATATGATTTTCATGCAGAAAACATCTCTAATTCCCTATGGTTCTTGTGCCTCTAGTTTACTGTCATTTTCCCATAAAGCTCTCTCTCATTATGCAATACTGCTTTTTCTTCATACGATAAGGCCGATTTGTTCAACTTCCTCTACAAAATGACAAACATATCCAGACTCGTGGGGGACTTTTTTTTTTCACGGGGGGAACCAAAGAGTTTCTTCCTTCATAAAATATCCAGAGATAGTTACTATTGAGGGAAAAAACTGAAACCAGGAGCTTTATCTGTGTTTTCACCAGTGTTTGTAGATCTATACCTTCATTCCAACGCACTTGATTTTCTAAGGTATTCGAGAGCTTGTGACTAAACTGAGTTGTTGGACAGGGACAGTTGAAGATATGTAATAGTCACTTTTATTCTACGTGTTTTACATATATTGCCTCACTTGACTTTCACAATAAACCAAATGTTTTTGTGGATGAGGAAACTAAGATCAAAAGTTTTAAATAATTTACAAAGGTATGGTTTGGATTTAGGCTGACCTTAACTATGTACCAACCTCAACTAAATGCTAAATGACTGAAAATTTAAATTAAAAATAATTGAATACGGTTTTAGAAAAGCAATTTCTCTGAAATGTGCTTTTTGAAATTTATGGGAATGACAATCAGCATTTTGAATGCTTACAAGACTATTTGTTCAATGCCTAGTCTTTAAGTTTTTTCGCAAAAAAAGATCAAATACATGTTGCGTCCTTTCCTTCATAGAATTTAAATGTCACAGCAATTAGTTAACAGCTCACAAGGAAATCATGAGTCGGCTTTGTTTTTTTTCTGTCTGCTCTTAATTTAGCTCAGGGACAATGGAAGGGAGAGAGATGAAGAACAAAATTGAGAGCCGTGGCATGATTTTTTTCACACTCGCTCAGGTATCATAGACAGTTCCAGAGCTACTCCTAGATGTCACAAAATACTACTTCCACACATGATTGCTATTTTATAAAGTATTATTTCAATCAACAGCTGTTTGGAATATTCAGAAATGCAAATACAAACCATGTTCAAATTTTTGCTGTCAAAGCCACAAATGATAAATAAGGCGTTGCTGCAGATGGCATTCAGCGTCTCACGGGTACACACTTGCGTGGCGAGAAATTTGTCAAAGAAATTTTGTGGGAAGAATATTTTATCACCAAATATAGCCTGCAAAATACAAGCATCATTAGGTGGATTGCAGAATTCAGGCTTCAGAAATGATTCGTTCATTTTTCTAATGGGCTTCTGCAGATGCGATCAGGCTAGTGGTATTTTCTTATTCCTACATGCTGTTTCTTATTGAATCTCAGATTGAACTTTTGAAATACACAGAGCGGAGAGCAGTGTTGGGTGGGCACTGTCACCCTGCGAGCTGGACTGTCCACCACTGTCACCCTGCTAGCTGGACTGTCCACCGCGAGACAGTGTATGACACAGAGTTATCACCTCTCTTATGCCCATTATGGAATACATTGATAAAACCTGGCAGACTGCCACAGTTATGAGACATGCAATTTCAATCTTGAATTCTGAAAAGATCAGGGTGGAACATGTTGGTCTGAGCCATATTTTTAGCAGAATCTTTAGGGAAGCAGCTGGATTTAGTTGCTTAAGGATTAAAAAGATTTGCTACAAATGGTTTGGAGGAAAGGAGATATTTTATTATCTCCATTACACATATAAGGAAACATGAATTAATCAGTTGGTATCTTACACTAAGTAGAACTAAATCATGTAATCTGTAATCATGTGAATCATGTGATTCATGTAAGTCTGTAATCCCAAACCAAGTCTCTGCCTTGAGTTTGAATGCTTTTTGCCTTTTTCGTGCACTCTCTGAATTTCCTATTCAAAAATCTGGGTATAACGTGTACTGGATCAATTTACCAATAAAAACAAAACTAATCACAGAATTTTAGTCTTCAAAGAAAAGTTTTAAGTCAAGTTTGACTATAAGTACAGTCTCCTAGGCTTCAGATATATATTAACACAATGTGAAAAGAAATAGATAATTTAAAAGGGCAATAGTAATATTGTACTTTATACTGACTGGTTTTCCTCCAGGGTAGTGGTGTGTGTGTGTGTGTGTGTGTGCACATGCATGCATCTGCACTTGTGCATGGTGCTTTCAGTGATTGGAATCAGTGTACTAAGCATCAGAAAAAAAAAACAAAAGATATTTGGAGCAAGTGTTCAGCCCAGTTAGTTAGGAAACCTGAATCTCTATTGGAGCGCCGTGTGGTTTGAATCTTTTCTCCAACTCCTGACTCCAGATTCCTGCCAGTGAAGAGCTTGGGAGGCAGCAGTGATGACTGAAGGAACCTGGTTCCTGCCATCTGCCGTGGAGGCTGGGATTGGTTACCTACTTCTACCTGGTCCAGCTTCTGTAGGAATTTGGAGAGTGAGCCAACTGATGGGAGCATTCTCCTCTATCACCCACAATCTCTCAAACAAATAAGTAAGTAATAAATACATTTTTGAAAATATTGATCATTTTCTGCCAGCATGTCTATAGGATGAAACACTTAATACTTGTGGTTTTGAGATGAGTCCCTGTCACTGTCCCATGAAATCCCCATTGCAAGCGGAAGGAGCTTCTAGGGAAGGCAGGAGCGTTTGATGAGAAGCCTCAAGCCATTGGCTCACACAGCCATGCATTTCTTTTTTTCTCTGTCTCCCCTTCCCTTTCCATTTTTTTCCTTTTCTATTTCTAGTTTCTATAGCCCTCCTAGGTTAAGCTGCTTAATTAACAGTTTTGCTTTGTTTTTATTCCTGATCCCTTACACCAGTAGTGAAATTTCAACTGACAGTTATGAAATGTGAGCAAATGAAATAAAATATGAAGAAGCAAGACATTCATAAGCACAGCTAGTCTGCAGAAAGCTAGTCAAGAACAAACAAATGGGGCTCTCACAGATGGTACAGGGGATTTGATGAAGGTCATTGTTATTAAATTCATATATTGGTGAACAGAACCATTTTTTATGGTCTACCAGTTGTTCTATTGTCCTTCTGTGAATTTGAACTTATGAGCAACTAGATGTCTTATATTTAATGAAAGAGCGTCACATACCTTGAACATGGTTGGAGAAACGTATTTAAGTTTGTTTATAAGGCTCTTTGTGTACTTCACAGTGGCAACTGGAGCTAATGCATAAAAAGTTTTGATTCTTTCAGCCAGCTTGGGAATTGTAGAAAAAGCAATGAAACCTGAAATAAACAAGGAATCATTTAAAGGGAAAAAAACTCATATACATGTGTGTGTATGCTTGTGTGTGCAGGCACTTTTCTGTTTGCATGTGTGTGATATTATAAAAGCATGCATTGTGGCATTTTCACATGTATTTCACATGTATGATATTATCTTGGATCTACTGAGAGTGACATTTGACATAACCTGAAAATTTATGACTTTTCTTTGGTAACTGTAATCAGATTTGAGTATATTTATTTGATTTTTGATAATTTTTTTGTGTGAAACACAGCCAGAACTTAAATTTATAATAAGCTATTTAAAATTACTTTTTTCTGACCTTAGAAAATATACCACATTTTGGATAATAATGATCATAAGATATAGATTGTGACAAATGAAAATTCATTGTCATTTCATCACAATTAGATTATTAATACTTAACGTAAGTAGAATATGGAGTAGAAATTTTAGAAGTAGAAGTTTAAATTAAAACCAAACTGTATTTAAATTATGATTCTGTTGTTTATTAACCTTTTGATTTTGGATTAGTTATCAAATCTTAAAGAGCTTCTATTTCCTGCCTGAATTTTGGAGTTAGTAATGAGTACTACATTAGTTTTCTTTCTTTGTTTCTTGCTTTCTTCTTCTTCTTTTTTTTTTTTAACAACTTAAGGTGGCAAATCATGTAAAGAATTTACCATGATACCTTAAAAAAGCAGATATTTGATAGGTTAGTAACTAAGAAAATTCAAACATATATACCCAGTAAACACAGAGCGTTTGTCTGGAACTAATTGTTTATATGGGCAGTAATGTATTAGCAGACTAGGATAGCACCAAAATGTTAATAAGTTGGACTGTCTATAGTCAAACTACATAGAACAAGATGTTTCATTATTAGTAGTGACAAATCGATGAGTCTCAAAAATGACTTGAAGAAAAAACAAACAAAACCTTCCAGATAGGCTTGCATCTAGGCTCACTGGGTTAAACTAAGCAGTATGTGGTGCTTGCGTCCCTTAGAGGTGCTGGTTCTTGTCCCAGCTGCTCCACTTCTGTTCCTACTCCCTGCTAATGGCCTGGAAAAGGAGCAGAGCCTGGCCTAAGTGCTTCAGGCACTGCCATTCCGTTTACCAGAGGTAAAGCCCTGTGGATCCTGGCTTTGGCCTGGCCCAGCCATGACTGCTATGGCCGTCTGGGCAGTTAGGGAGTGACCAAGTGGATGAAGGATCTCTCTCTCTTTCTTTGTCCTGTGTAATTCTGCATTTCAAGTAAATAAGTACATACATACATACATCTTTAAAAAAAGAAGAAGAAACATGCTGACCCTGACCATGGATGGATCACTGCCACAGTCACAGCTGACATCATTACTGCATCCATGTCGCCATCATGTTCAGCATGGGTTATTGAACGAGTTCTCTAAGAGAGTCTGTATGCTCTCCTTTCCTTATTATTCAGCAACTAGAGGGATTCCATGACAAATGACTCAACTCCTCCATTCTAAATCCGTGTGGTTTCCTTCTGTACCCTGTGAAAGCAGATAGCCCTGCAGTACCAAAGAGTCCTGTGCAGTGTGCCCTCCTCAGCTTCTGTAATTAATACTCTCTCTCCTGCCCTCTCTTGGACTCATCCACATGGCTTTTTAGCATGCTAGGTATGCTCCAGCTTCAGATACTGTAAACTTTGTCTTCTCTCTTCCTGGTACTTCAGTCGGCGAGGCATATACACGCCCCATTCCCTCACCTCCTTCATCCCTTACTATCTAAAATCACAGCAGCCCTCGAGCAACCCCTGCTACTCTTCTTTGATTGGTTTTCTGTCCATAACATTGCCATTACCTATTATATTATATCTTTTACTTTATTTTTGTTATTTTCTTTGACTCGTCACACTAGAACGTAAATCACATGGATATTTTAATCTATCATATTTATTGCTATATATTTTGGACGCATCAAAGGCTCTCTATCGATGTGTTTGGGCAAACAGAATAAATTTAATATAGGAAATATATACTGCTGACAAGGGGTAAGAACACCTTAGTTGACATCTGAACCACATTATTGGTAACAACCCATATTAACTAGTACAAATTATTCGCCCATCAATACAAAACCAGTAAAACACATTTTCCCTGTGTCATTGGATTGCTGTAGACATTATCTTGTAGAATGAATGGAAAACAATGTGTCTACCTGTATGTCTGCCATAACCACTAGGAAGTGATCCACAATGGTTAAGCTATGGAGCCATCACCTATACTTACCAATGGTGGTGCCCTGGGAGTGACCCACGTAATACAGCTTTTCCTGTCCAGTTTTCTCAACAATGAAGTCGATTGTGGCTGGAAGATCGAATTTAGCCATTTCATCAAAGCTGCAAGAAAATAAAAGGCAGAGTAAAGTGGAACTCATTTCCTTAAAATCGTTTCTAAAAATTCAACATAATTCTAAATAAAGCCCCCTTTGAGATGTAGAAATGTAGATGCACTTTCTCTAAACGTTACTACTTAAGGACCATTAGTGAGTGATGAATGCCCTTTGGGATGGTTTCTTATAAACAACTGACATCATTTCTGAAGCTCAGCATTACAGCCGCAATTTAATCCAAACAAGGTATAAGGTAAAAATGATTTCTATCCCTGAAATGAAATGTCACATTTAATAAGCATTTATATGCCACATTCTGGGGCTGTTTAATACGAATTTTGCTCTTTTTTTCTTATTTTTCACAAATAAGCAAGAGTGGCTTTTTTAAAAAAATGAAAATGAATTATACAGCTCTCCAGTTTGAAACTTTTCAGTGGCTTCTCATTGCTTCTAGAATTTCCTCCAAGCATCACAGAGCACTCCCGGATTTGGGTCTGGCTAAATATCCTTCTTATCCTTCTACATTATCCCCTCTCGTTCTTCATTACACTCAAGATGCATAAATTTCCTCTCAGCTCCTGGAACTCTGAAACATTTTTGTGCGTCAACCAAAATCTCTTCTGTTCTACATCCCCATCACTACTTCCCAGAATAAGGCACAAGGTGCCCAGCAACAGGAGGTAGAATAAAAACGGCTTTCTTGGGATGGATGTTTGACCAAGAGATTAAGATGCTGTGTGGAATATTCACAACCAGCATTAAAAGATCTGGGTTCAAACCCAGATTCCACCTCTAGTTCACTTAAAAGTATGTATGTTGAGAGGCATCAGTGATTGCTCAAGGAGTTAGACCCCCTGCCACACACCTGGGAAGCACAGACTGAGTTGCTGACTCTCTGCTTTGGCCTTGTCCAACCCCTACTGCTGCAGACACTTGGGGAGTGAACCCACACATGGAGGCATTCTCTCTATTTATCTTGTTTATCTCTCTCTCTCCCCCCTTCCCACCTTCCTCCTCAAAAATAAAGACTTCCTTCTCCTGCTGAGGGTGTGATTGGTTTAAATGGCACCAGGTTGGAAGAAGGTGGATGACCAAGCTTTACAGCTCAATATTTGTTAATTGTCCATTTCAAATTAATCCCCTTCTTTACCTGAAAGCCCAAAATTCAACGGTGTCTGGTGAATAGTATATATTTCTTCTGGACCAAGTGTTTCCTCGGCTGTTCCCCAGCCACACATCATAGCCAGAATCTGCCAGAATAAAGGCCAAGCTGTTGTTGGGCAGGTTGGCGATCCAGTTTGAGGCTGAGGCAAGCAAGCCGTGCTGCAACAGTACAACAGGTCTCTGGCCTACAAAAGAAAATTGGTTCAAAACCTCATAAACGTGTTTCTTGTTTTAAGGTTGACATGAACTCAGAAGCAGGCTTTCATGTGACTAGAATTAAACACATCTGATTGAGTTGAACATTTTCACAATACTGTCTTAACTGTGCTAATGATTTTTCAGCTTATTGCTATCTCAGATGCCCAAACCTACAACCTACAATCTTGCAGTTTATATATATTCAATGTGGTGTATGCCAATTGTACTTTGGTAAATGATTGATAAACATAGCCAAAAAAATTTCAGCGTGATGTTATTAAAGTAGGCCATGAATAGAAAAGTCATGGGTAGCCTTTATTTTTCTTGAAATTCAAAATATTTCTATAATGAGAAAAAGAAATTCTTGTTGTATATCACAAACATCCTTTATCTATTTAGGAAATGAGCTTCAAAGTGCTCACCTATCCGTTCCATTGGAACATGGGCGCTGGCTACCACCTCCTGACACTCCAGGATTCAGGTAAGTTATGCGTTCTGTGAATAGCTTCTCTTAACTAGATTAGGTGCCTTCAGCAGTACAACTTGTATGGTTGTAGTATTGAGCTTATCATACATTATTATTGTTTTATATATCTTATTGACTTGATGATGTTCTCTTTGAAGACTGAAGGGATGACTTAGTTGTTGCATTTATAGAATAAGCAAATCTTATTCATTCTTTAGTAAGAAGTGAAAGGAGGGAATGAAACGATGGAGGAGTCAGCGAGGAAGGAGAGGGAAATTAGAAAGAAGGAAGATGAAAGAGTAAAAAGGAAAGAGAGGGAAAGGAGGAAGAGAAGCTTATACCTCTATTTCCTGAATTTTTCTTCCCATAAGGAATTCTGTTGACCTCAAGAATGTATCCGTCTTCAGTCACAACATCATATTTTTCACTTGGGTATCCCCAGTAGGAAATCATCTGGCTCTAGGCGAGAAAAAACCACAGCTTTGTTTTAGTTCCCCTTTTGAATCCATGTAATGGTATATTGATAATTATTTTTAATTCGTCACATAAAAGTTTAAATTCATCACAAGTCTGAATCATGGTACTATGTCTTAGTTTAAGAGATTTTGTTTTCCCCAGTAACTTACAATATTCATATGCACTTCAGGGCTTGTAGGTTCTAATTTTCCAAAGAGGCCATGTGTAACTCCCAGCACAGATAGCAATGTGGTCACTGGTAAAAGCACCCACATTTTGGGCTGACCTGAAACAAAAAAAAATAGTCCACCCCAAAGTTAACCTGTTTCACTAATGCAATGCTAATATTTTGCAGAAGCTTTCCTGTCATGCAAAGTAGAGCATGTTTGAGCCTGATTATATTCTGTTGAGCAATAAACTGTGGTGTGTGCATGTCAGCAGAAATCTAAATATCGAATATGTTTTCACTCTGTCTCTATTTGTTAAAGAACATTTCTCACTTGATTTTCAAACTGCATTGAAGGAATCTTAATTGGCAAAACATGTCTTCCAGTTGTCTGACATAACTTCCTATTTTTATGATGCCTTCTGTTTAAGACTTTTTGCCAACTTTTTGATAGCTCCCAAATGGGTTAGGGTATATGGTTATTTGACTTTTCTAGATTTGTCCTTCATATAACATGCATTTAAGTCTATTTTTAAAATAGATTTTTAAAAAGAACTATGATTTTTTAAGAAATGGTTTATAATAGCAATTTGACAAATATTTACTGATTTGAGGTTATTATGTGGATTTAGAACTGTAATTACTTGCTCAAAAAGTTACCATATTTAGAGTAATGTGTGAATTCAATTTTATGCAATTTATTTATTTATTTTGGCTGACATTATCATATTGAAATTACCTATGTATTTCTTTAGTTATAAAGCAACACAGGTCAAGTGCAGTAGAGCCTGTGACAAAAATGCGCTTGTTATATAATAAATGATTTTTTTTATATTGAAGATAGTCTAATTGATGATCCTACTAGATACAAAACCTCATAAAAGAAATGTATATTGGCTTCTGGGCAGGCAGTTGGCACAGCAGTGAAGAAGATACAACTTGGGTTATCAGCATGCCTGGATTTGAGCTCTGACTCCACTTTTGACTTCAATTTTCTAGTAGTGTGCACCCTGGGAAACAGCAGATAATGCCTAAGTATTTGGGCCCCTGCCATCCACAGGAGACACCTAGAATATGTGTTGTGCTCTTAGCTTCAGCCTGGTCTAGTTCCAGCTTGTTGTGGGCTTTTGGGCAGTGAACCAGAATATGGAAGATCTCTGTATGTCTGTTTCTACCTTTCAGGTGAATGAACAAATAGGCTTGCCTGCTTTAAAATTTATCCTCCTGTGGGTCAAGATATAGTCCTTGGCATAACTAGAGATTCTACACACACTCCAATTACTAGAATGGTTTTACTCTTCCCTTTAATTTTTACATTTTGAAAAAAAATATATTGATTAATTGAGAGAGAGATTTTTATCTGCTAGTTCACACTCTAGGTTGTAAACTGGACAGGACTGGCTGAGTTAGGCTGAAACCAGTAGCCAGGAGCTTTATCCCAGTCTTTCACAAGGGTAGCAGGAGCCCAAACACTTGGGGTATCTTCTACTGTCTTTCCCAGGTCATTAGTGGGGAGCTGCTATACAAGTTGAGCAGCCCAGGACATGAAGAGATGACCACATGGGACGCTGGTATTAAAGATGGTCACTTTGCTTACTACACTACAACAGGGAACCCCCAATTTTTTACTTTTTAATTGAAATTTCAACTTATAAATTTTTTTAAAGGGTTATTTCAATAGAACTTTACCCTTCTAACTCTGAAATGGCAATTGCTACTTGTTTCTTAGTAGAGGCAATAATTGATATTAGACACAAAACTTCTAAACATTCTTCTAAGTTGTCGTGAACTTCAAATTAGAGTATAAAGTTGATAGAAGAGTCTCAAGAGAAAAGTGATAATCTGTAGGGATTCCATATGAAGGACAATTTTGAATTCACTTTTAGTGTTTAATATATAGATTATTAAATAAAATTGTTGACTCTATGTTGGGAGCAATATTGGGAGATCACACAGAGAAAATTTTATAACTTATTTATTTGTATTTATTTGAAAGGCAGAGACAGTAGTTTTTCATTCAATAATCCATTTCCCAAATGCCACAATAGCTGGGGCTGTCTTGACCAGGTTCAATCCAAAAATTGTGTGTGTGTGAGAGAGAGAGAGAGAGAGAGAGAGAGAGAGAGAGAGAGAGCTCTTCCATCTATTGCTTCACTTGCCAAGCAGCCACAACAGCCAGGGCTGCACCAGCTCAGCCAGAAGCCAGTCACTTTATCCCAGTCTTCTGTATGAGTGTAGACCCAAGCACTTGGGCCATTTTCTAGTGTGAAACAACTGGGACACAAACTTTCACCCTTTGATGTGATGCTCGCATTACAAGAAATGGTTTAATCTGATATGCAACAATGCCAGCCCCTTCCTCCTTCAATTTATGATCTTACTTTCCTGCTAATACAGAACCTGGGATGCATCATTAAAAGCTTAAATAATTAAATCACTGTTATTCACGGGAGACCCAGATTACATTCTCAACTCTTGGCCTCAGAGTTAGCCCAGCTTCAGCCACTGTAGGCACCTGGAGAGCAAACCACCAGACACGGACTCCCTCTTATTCCATTTGTTTATCTGCCTCTCAAATAAATAAAGTATTTTGAATTTTTAAAAAAATTAACGTAACTAAGAATTTCATGTTCCTGAAAAGTATTAGTCACATTCTAGAGGAATAAGCTACACATTTTAAATGCACAGAATTATATAGATGAATATGCAACAAATAACAAAACCTTTACAATTGTAGCAATTAAGTTAAAAAACAATTTTCTCGCAGATGTTATACTTACAGCCTTCGCAGAAGAGTAGGATTAGGTGTCGCTGGAAATTTTCTATTTCGCTTAATGTCGCACTTGCTTCTTATATACAAAATCTTTAACAGCTGCCTGAATTACTCATCAGCTGATAAAATTATACTAGGATCTCAATATCTGGGCATCATCAAATGTTAAAAGGACAAACCTTAAAATCAAATACTGTTTTCTCTTTCACATAATATTTAATTCACACTTTTAATAAATATTGGCCAAAGGGGCTGTAATGATTGAAAATGGTTTAGGAAACAATAAATTGATTCTTGATAACTTAAATATATAAAACTGTTGATCCAAATGCACACAAATGAGTATATAACTTGGCTCTGAGCTAAAAGCATTCTTTAAAAATGTATTGCATGTGCAAATCAGACTAGAGGATTAAATAAGTGAATGTGATCAGCAGAGATTAGAGTTTTATTATGGTCTTTGACCATGGTTTCTAACTCTGTAGATAATGGCCTTCCCATATTCAAAGCCCAGCCCTTGACATTTAAAACATATCGGTTAGTGTTCTGTTCTTTGTAAAACATCTATTGGCTAGAGTTTGAATAACGTGAATGTGTTGATAAAGGGATTGTACAAATAAAAATTTTATTTCCAAGTATAATTGATTCACTTATAGTTCATTGTAAAAGAAAGAGAATTATATTTTGACTATAAAAATCATTTGTAGTTTATTTTTAGAAATCTCACTTTGGTTATTAGTACTTAAGTGCTGTTGAAATATTATATCCCAGAAATATTACATAAAAGATTACATATATTTATTACTGAAAAGAACAAAATGGTAAACTTTAAACTGACACATTGCCGTCAAGTCCCATAATAATACCCTGAGTGGAGTTACATCATTTGAATAAACTAGGAAAAGAATCTGTATATATCAAATACCATATGTATTTATGTATTTTTATATATTCAAGCCTCACATTCCCTCAACTCTGGTGGAGTGTTAATAAAAGCAGAAAAAGTTTCAAAAGGAAAGGTGGTGACACATTTTCCAAAGGATTGAGACAGAAGGGAAGCTTCTGTTGTCCTTATATGATTTGCATTAACTACCAGAAGGTATGATGTGAAGAAGCTTAGAGTTTCTTCACAAAGTACTCTCCAGAGACTTATGCAAGATGTTCTTCTTTTGGCTTTTTATTATTATAACAAAAATGACTTATAATCAGAATATTTGTAAGAAATGAAAATCATCCTAATAGGCTGAAAGAGGACTTGTTAATAGGGGATGGTGCAGACAAATGCTTGTAAATGCCTAAATCTATGACTCCCTAGGAATAAATCTGTCATTGTGTTTCTAGTTTTTTTTTTTTAAAAAGATGTATTTATTTTTATTTGAAAGTGGAGCCATGGAGAGAAAGGAGAGAGAAAGAGAAATATGTCCCATCTCCAAATGGTTCCAGTGGGCTGGAACTGGGTTGATAAAGAGCAAGGCGCCAGGAGCTTCTTCTGTGTCTCCCACATGTGTATAAGGACCCAAGGACTTGAGTCATCCTGCAGTGCTTTCCCAGCCCATGAGAAGGCAGCTGGATCAGAAGTGGAGCATCCAGAGCTTACCCTGGCACACATATGAAATGCTGGCAACAGAGTTGGAAACTTAGCCTGCTATGTGAGGGTGCCAGCCCCTAAGTTTTCTAGTTTTACACATACACTCATGCCCATGAGAGCTTTGTTTCTCTAATGTCATTTTCCCTTTTCCAAAACTCACTGTCTTCCACGGGTCTCAGCTGAACCAGTAGTTCCCATAGAAAAGCCATCTTGATGCATTTTCTAACCATTAATATTAGACTGGGGACTCCTTTCATTCATGCTGTGGAATCCTAGATTGACTTCTGTTTTTAGGACTGATCACTTGACAGGTCATTATGTCTCTTCATTTGGACACACATGCACATACACATGTACTTCTTAAAGTATATTATTTATATGATTATTTATTAATTTTCAACTACTTAAAAGATTTAGAGAAAATATCTCCCATGCGTTCCCTCTCTGCAACAGTTAGGGAGGACTGGAAAAGTACAAAGCCCAGAGCCTAGAACGCCATCTTCACGTCCCACCTGGATGGCGGAAGCCCAAGCTCCTGAACCATCATCTGTTGCTTTTCATGACACATTCGTGTGAAGCTTTAGTGGAAGCAAAGTAGCCAGATGGCAATTTAAGATTTGTGCGAGTTTTTTTTCATGGAAACTGTTTTGAGCCTTACATATATGGGACACATATTAACAAACAGCTTTGAGGTATTTAATATTTGGCACCTTAATTAGGCGAAATAAAAACACCGATCTAAAGTTGA